GATGGTTATTTCGACCCTCTTGTTTTCGCGTTTTTTATGGATGGTTACAACGCCTTTAGGTTGTCCGATAACCTAGGGCTAACCTAGGGGCGAGGTTTCGAAAAGTGTCCTTGGGTTGTCCAGATAATCGGGCTAACCCAAGGACTTATTTATTTTGGGTTCTATGGAGTCGCCACCGATGTTTTACCTGAAACATCGAAAAGGGGTTTTGAAAAGGCGTTGGTTTTCGAAAACCAACTTTGGTCATTAGAACCGTGAGTTGGGTAAGGGAGTTGGTTACGTGCAAAGGGAGTATTAGTCCCTTTACGACGCCCTTTCGGGTTCCCTATGACAGGCCGACTTATTTTATTGATAAACTAGAAAAATACGCTTTTGCCCTTTTTATTCGGCGGAATTTAAAAGTATGAATACATGGCCCTACTATCTATTGCATAATTTAAGATAAAAACGGTAAAGGTGGGAGGAGAGAATTTGAACCTTCGAAGCAAGCTTTTTATATTAATTCTCTAAAAAAATAGGGTGCTTTATGGTAGCCCTTCACTCTACAAGACGTCGAAAAACCTCTCGAACCGTTCCTGAGTTTTAGAAAGTGTTTCGAGCTCTCGGGATGTCCGGGTGACTGGGGTGTGAAAAAGTGGCAAATGAGCCTCCTATTTATAGTTTTTCGCAGCTGGCGCACTTTGGGACGGCCGTCCGGGTGGGACGGCCGTCCGGACTGGGACGCGCCGTCCCAAATGGCAAATTTACACGTAGCCGGACCCCCAGGAAGGCCGGACGGCCGTCCCACTTAAAATGGGTTTGGGACGGCCGTCCCAACTTTGGGACGCGCGTCCCAACTGGATTTAAGAGGTTGGGACGGCCGTCCCAACCGGGACGGCCGTCTCAACCTCGTTCGTCCAGCTTTGCGCGTTTCGGGCTCCGGAAGCTTTCCTTGCCCGTTTTGGACGTCGCTGATGCCGATATGTGTCTATTGAAGCTTTATCTTCATATAGGAAGTCTTTTTGGCCAAGCTTTATCTTGTTACGGGTGATCTCCTTTATCTTTATTTGAGAGGCCGGGCAAAATTAGGGGTCTACAGTGCTTTATGGTAGCCCTTCACTCTACAAGACGTCGAAAAACCTCTCGAACGCCGAAAATCACTCTTGAAAGCACTCAGAAGCTCCGGAAATGCGTCGGAGGGATTCTAGAGAGATGTTTTTAGAGAGAAGGGAGAGCTATGCAGCTGTGGTGTGTGGAAATGAGGGGGGGAGAGCCCCTATTTATAGGTTTTTGCGTCTGTCAGGTGGCGAGACCGCCGGTCTCGTCTCGACAGGGTCGAGACTGCCGTCTCGTCCAACGAGACCGCCGTCTCGACCTGTCAAAATGGCGAGACCGCCGTCTGGGTGAACAAGACCGCCGTCTCGTCCTTCGCAGGTTGCGAGACCGCCGTCTCGTCAAGCGAGACGGCGGTCTCGCCACTTGCGTGAGGCGAGACGGCGATCTGGGTTGTCCAGAAGGCGGTCTCGTTCCTTCAAGGCGAGAAAACTTATTTTTTGGTATAGAAACTCCCTCCTATCCTAGTATGGGGCCTAATAGTCTCTCCTAATGGCTTGTTAGGCTTGTCCATCTTCAAATAGGAGGTCTTCTGGTCTTTATTTGGAGGCCGAGCAAGATTTGGGGTCTACAGCTGCCCCCCCTTT